CAAAACCGAAGCTTATTTTCTACAGCTCATTTACGCTACTTCTTTGCTTACTTTTTCCCTGGGCCTTGGTGTCATAGTGGCAGCAGCTAACCCTGTTGCCAATTTCTGACTTAGCCCTCTCTTATGTGAGGCTGTTGGTGATTACATGTCTAATAATTCACAAGGCACTTTTCTGAAATTGCACAGGCCTTTGTCCTTTAAAAAAACTTGACCCCAGTGCTGTCCAACACGACTCTCTGATGACAGAAGTGTTCTGTCTGTGCTCTACAATATGGTAGCCATTAGCCGTGTGTGAGGATTGAAATCTTGAAGATGAAATGTGGCTGGTGTGAGTGAGCTGCATTTTTTTATTTTTAAATTCTTAATTACATGGTTCCTTTTGGCTATGATTACCACATTGGACAGCGCAGCTTGAAGTATTTGTCGTTTTCCAGTGTGTGGAAGAGACATGGATTAAGATTGGGTCATTTAAACATTTCAGCTTTGTAATGAAAGAATGTGGGTTATATATTCTGAGAGGAATGTGCTCCATGGCCAGATAAATTCAGGAAAAACTATGTTCTGTGGCATTTTGAAAGTGAGAATACAGAAAACAAACTGTCTTAACCTTGTTTGGTCTGTTCTTTTGCACAAACTTGTTGGATATCTTTTTTTGTTCTCTGAACCTCTCTACGCTTGTCAGAGTCATAAGAAGGAGGCTGCTTCTGGAGTCATCTCAGTTTACACGGTGACTCTACCACTGAAGGCCAGAGCGTGGGCCTCCCTTAGCTTCAGTTTTCCTGTCTGTAAAATGGGCTTTGATATTCTTTTATAAGGTTGTTATGTGTATTAATGGAACAATATATATGGAAAGCACTTTAAACAGTGGCTAATGTTAGGTGCTCCTGAAAACTATCTTTTGTTTTACCTCCTTAGTTCTTCAGACAACTGTAAAATTAATAAGGAGAATGGCTAAATTCTTGCTTCTTATAGATAGAGTCTGTCTTTGATTCCCTTATCCTCAAATTTTCAAATGTTACTTTACTTTTATTTTGAAAT